GACCGGTCCCGAACGTGAAATGAAATGTTCAGCGAACTCGCTCAGGCGAAGAATAAATCTGCGTGTGGTGATCTCATTAATGGCTTTCAGTTCAAAAAAAAAATGTGACAGTCCATTTCAGAGGAGACGCCACTGACGGACCGCTCTCAGAACTCATAACCAAGCAAAAATAATACTCACGATAAGCTCGCAGAATGGTTCTCCATCTTAACATTAAAAAAAAAGAGCAAGGCTCAGTCATAAATTAGATATTTTCAAAATAATTCGAATATCAATATGAATCAGTGATATATACCGGATGCCGGTAATTATTCAGTAGAATTCCTGAATACACTAAAACCTCCAGCTCTCTCAGCACACATATTGAATTTAATATTATATAGGTTGTCCCTTCCGCTTTTTTGCTCTTCATTCAATGGTTTATAAAAAGTGTTACAGTGATCGGATTTAGTTAAAATATGCGCCGTTTTGTTTGATAATCTGCTTCCATCTAGACGGCAACTGCATAATACCTTCCTCGTAGAAGCCCCCCTTCTTATTTGCGAAGAATTCGGACAGCCACTTTTCACAAGCCTCTTTTGAGTTCAACTTCACACCACCGAGGGCATTCGCCATGGACAGGAGCGGGTGGTAATCACTTGGCGCTACGTCCGGGCTATATGGTGGATGCGATAAAACCTCCCACCAGAGCTCCCGTAGCTTCTGACGAGTCATCAACGAAGTGTGTGGTCTGGCGTTGTCCTTGTGGAACACTACACCTTTCCTGTTGGCCAATTCTGGACGCTTCGGGTCGATCGCCTGCTTCAAGCGGTCCAGTTGTTCGCCGTAGATGGTAGAATTAAGCGTCTGGCCATATGGGAGCAACTCATAGTGGATGATTACCTTCCAATCCCACCAAACACACAGATACGAGCTCCGTAGCGCTTTGTACATAGCCGCAAAATTCAAAAGCGGCAGGGAGATATTTGACAACCTAATATTTGGAGCGCCAAAAGGATATTGCAACGAAATATAATAGAGACTATATATATTATAATAACAGGTTGTTTTCAAGGACGATCTGTCCATCCAGGGTATGCCTGGCAATAACCATAAACAAAGTAGACTTGAGAGAAAGCTACTTCCCCCATGGCCAGTTATATGTGGCCTACTGCAGATTAAGCTTACAAAGCAGCCTGGTAGTTCCAGCATCTTATGGTGAAACAAAAAATATTGCCTACAAGGAAATAAATAAATAAATGTAGTTGTTGGTATAATTTTGTTTATTATTTCTAATTAAAATAGTTTTGAAATTTCCCTTTTCCATGACATGAGCTGAAGAGTTCCAAGAAAACGTTTTTTTTTATTTATTTTTTTTTTCAAAATTGACTTTCTTCATCAACATAAACTCCACCAAGAGAGCGATTATAACATTTTAAACCCACTTTTTTGGAACGATTTATGATTTGGCCTCAGTTTCAGCGCTAATATCTACATGCGAGCGAAATTTCGTTATCTTTGAGCATTTTTTTTTAGATATCCGCACAGTCAGCGGACGTTGGAAGTCAAATCCAGCGATAACGTTGGTTGTTATGGGAGCAATTCGAAGTCCAATTCTGAAAAAAATATGTTTTTTTTTTTATTACGTTATGCAGTCGTTGCTTTACTGTTGGCCTGCAAGCGCTCCATCTAACGTTAGACGGGGTTTCTCTTCTCAATATAGTCTCTCAGTATTACACCACGCATATCATAAATTAACCGATTAATTAGTTTCCGGACACTTTATACGAGTTTCACCAGCTTATCTACGCTCAGCTAACAATCGATTTGATTCCAAATGTTTTTTCGACGGCGGACCCAGCATTAACGCACAAACACCCAACGGACCGAGTGGCGCGCCTGAAGGATACTCGAGAAATCTAACAGACCGGTGACTGAAAACCAGAGACAGGCCGTACCCCGAGACCGAACGAGGAATGTTGTCGTTACACTTGCTTCTTACACTAAACAGCTCATGAGCTGCTCTAAAATTTCATGGGAAAAGGTTAAGGAATTTGATTGATTACTTAAAGCACTCAGTAATTAGAATTTTATATTGAAGATGGAGCCGGGGAAATCAATTCCAGATTATTCCTATACAATTGACAGTCTTCTGCGACGGTCATTTGATGCTGCGTTTGCTCCTCGGAAAGGGTCTTTGGAACAATCTTCACGCACTACTTTCTCATCCCAAAATCGTCGGTTAAAACTTGTCTGACTGTTTCACAGTTCATACACATCTCCGACGCCAACATTCGATGTATTAAACGCCGTTCTTCACGGATTAGAGCGCGCACACGCTGCGCATTCGTGTCAGTCCTCATCTCGACTGGTCTCCCGCTCCACGCCTCGTCTTCCACGCTTACACGCCCCTCCTTAAACTATTTATGTCATTGAATTTTAGCGTACGTTTCCGAAACTGGTTCGCCGAATTCGGTGCAAAATTTTATCGCGGCGGGTTGCTCTTGATTTGTTTTTTCCATTTTCATGACGAGCACCACAAACACACGTTTACTCAACACGACATAGCAGGCGTACCAAACAAGCTAGAGCGATGGCAAATATATCAATGGAGCAGAGAAGGATGCCGGGAGGAAGGAAAGGGGATTTCAAGGTCGCAGGGTTACCACAATCGCGGCAATAAGTCATAAGTCATAAGTCTCATTACATTATTGTCACACCTCTTAAGACTTCCTTTTGTGTCACCTAAATAAATGAGGTCTGCAGTAACTTGTTCAACATTTCGATTATGTATCACATAGATAAAAGATTGGAAAGATTTCCTGGAGCAACAAATATACACAGGCTGAAGTTATGGATCTAAGCATGATCAAACACTGTTAAGAATCGCTTTGAACACGTTCTTTTGATATCAACCGCCTCATTTCGGCATCTCCTTCGCTCTGCATCATCGGTAACTCTACGACCAAAGTTTTTTTTGCTGTTTTTGTTGGGGTAGATAGAGATTTTTTCAAGTAATTTCTTCATTTGAACGGAGTTTTTCCCCATTTCGAAGCAGTGTTAAATTAAAACACTCAACACCGTCTAAGTGTTGGGTCCGGAACTTTTCAGCCCATGGTTTCATATACAAATATGAGTAGGAGTAGTTTAAAGAACAAGTTCTCCTCCTCAGCCAAGTTTATTTAGTGAGTTAAGAGCTTGCTCTCTCAGCGAGATCTACGCTAATGTCCCACTTAAAATAAATCTAGTACAAAGTTATTTGATACATATATAAACAAGATAACACAGATTAGATTGTATAATATTTATTTGAAAAAAAAGTAACTGTTAATTACATCAGAATCGAGAATGTAAACAAAAATAGAAGAATGAAAATTTTATTATTTAAAACTATTTCTTATTTTGCTAATTGAAACTAGCACAATAAAGGAGTGTCCAAAATGCCGAGCAAACGATGGCAGTCAAGTACAGCCGACTCTCTTTTATATATCGCACGACTTGGTAAGGTCTTTTCCGATCCTGCTTTTGGTTCATTCCATTCTTGCATCGATAGCAACTTAAATGTGATATTAAAAATGCTAATCCTATGATAATTGGCGCAGTCTATAGCTTCTTCTTTTTGGTTGATTAAGCAGTGTGCACACTTAGGCTCCAAATGCCCCGCATGTTATCGTCCGAAGGTATTCTGTATTTGAGTAGCTCAGCCGGCAAGCCATTGGCTCCAGTCGTTTCTTTTTCTTCAGTTGGTCGATTGCAATTTGAACTTCGTTATAGTCGGGTATTGGAACGACTGTGGCATCATCCTCGATCAGGGATTCGGGTTCGGCATATCCGGTTGCTTTATTTTCACTGCAGCTATGAAGACTTGAGTGTTGTGTTTCCTATACAATTTCATCATCAGTTACTAAGTCGTCTCTTTCGTGCACACAGGAAAAACCAAAGGTATTTCTTTTTTGTGAGAGTCATGCTGCGGGGAACTCCGTGAGAGCGTAGAGGTCTGTGCGTGGTTGCCCAAAGTGGCTAAAGATACTGACGGCACAGCCGTGGTGGCTGGGGGCGCATTTCAGCGCTGGCTGCATGGGGCCACATAACTTGTTGACCTGAGTAGAGCTGCACTTGTTACATCTAACCAAAATGAAGGAATGCTGGGGCACACGCAGCAGAAATAATCCGTCGGACTAGAGTTGGTTTCAACGCCTGCACTGATGCGAAGAATTTGGAACAGCCGAGCTCTGAGGTGTTGCTCCATTGGTGACGTTAGACTAATTTTATTTGTTGATTTAAACGAGGTTAGATCGTCGAAAGTGTGACAACCCTTGGCCGGATAAAATCCGAGTCAACTTCGGTGCGTAGAAATGGCAACTTAGGTTTGGATATTGTAGTAGGTTAAAGTCCGACTTATCCAAACTCGACCCCAAAATACCCAATGTAGGTCCTGCACGTAATGAGTCCTCGCACGACACTAACCACCTCTTCACATGCCCACTGAAACCGATACATCTAACCACCGCTCTTCGTCTGATCCGAACAGGTCAGAAGAGCTCGTTTACAATTCCTAACGTTGATGATCTCGGTGACTTGGACTAACTAGCCTGTACCTAAGCGGGGTCGGAGCAACCGCTACAACAACAACCGCTACAACAACAACAGCAACAAAAACATATATGTTTTGTGTGTGACTACGGTATTACAGATATCCACATTTCATGCATTGGCGAAGCCGACGAGATTCTACAGCTGGATCTTGGTACCGGAACGACCCGGATTTTAATCAGGCCAAGGACTGTCACTCCTGTAATGTTTTCCGTAAACCAATTTGGAGAATATTTTTGCGGTTACTATAAAAACGATAACGGGACTCGGCGACTGTATATCTCTCCGCCGACAAATCCAACGACAAACCACCGTTTTGTAGTTATATATGTATTGTATTTACTTTACATTTATTTCATACATATTCGAGCCCAATCAGACCTGTCTTTTTTGGCTTTGATGAAATAAAATAAATAAACATCCTTTTCATGTAACTGATATTATCTGCTTTATTTAAAATATGTAAGCTATACGGCAGTGTTAAATGTAGCCCTAGAAATTCTTAGTGTTATACTGTAAGTATGTAAATGTATTGTGCTTTAAGAATAAATAGTACATTTTATATCGGAATGTGGTGTACATACATACTAGTATGTATATAAATACATATTTTGACATAGAAAGCATTCTCAACGTACAAATAGAAGCGTACATATTTAATTATTACCGTTATAAACATAATTACCGGCTTAAGATATGCTTGCTGAATTAAAAGAAATCTCATAAGAAGTGTTGATTACATAACTGGGTCTTCTTGTGGAGAAATCTTTGTAGAAAGTGCGATTGCGACTACCATTCTTCTACAGAATATACATATAGATATATGTTTGTATGCATATACAATTTAACAAAAAACCGGTTTAATCGTTTGACTTATTTTATTGACAGAGGCAAGAACTACGTGCATACATACATCCTCCATACATACATTCACACATACATGCGTACATACATACGTACATACATAACCCATGTAAACTTTAAGCAAAAAACTTGTTATTTGTAAGCATATGTTGAAAGGTTTATTAACACAAGCGTACATAAATAATTAAAACATAAAAATGGAAAAAGTTTGTAAAATAGAATATTTCCTAACGCATAATCTAGGTTGAACTTTTTACTTAAAATTATAATGCAAATCTGTGCATGTACATGCGTATATATATAAACAAATGTACAAAAAAAAAAAAATGAAAAGAGCTAAACTAGCTAAAGAAGATATTTCTGTTGAACAGATTATTCTATTGCAGATTTCCCTATATGCAATAACATACATACAATACATTGACATTTGCCACTGAAAAAATGTTTTTTTTTTAACAATTTTGTCTATAAATTTTGTAATTTAAATATTCACTTTGTAAGCTAAATGATTTAAAATCGAATAAATTAGCTGCCGTAAATATTTGCTATCAAAATTAAAAGTAAATTTGCACAAAAAAATACATATTAACGTATACATACATGTATGTAAATTAAGTATTTGCCTAAGAAATTATTAAAGTAAATTAAATACATAAATATATAATTCACACCGTAATTAGTACAGTGCATTTGCGTTATTTTTTAAATATTTTCAATATCTAATAAACGTTCTCTACTGTCCGGATAGTGTCTGATAGTACTCCGATAAGATTTTCCATGCTGCCGGCACCATAAATCCATTTGGCGGCGATTGTCCAGTTTTCGCCAACGTACGCATTTTAGTGCCAGATATAAATTCGAAATCTTCCTTTCGCGTTGGATCGAAAAATGCCATACATGAATTGCTCTTGTCATATGCAGCAACACGGAACGGCAGTATTTCTATGGCATCCAGACCAGGTGCCATTTTTAGCACACGTGCACCATGTGTAGCATCAAATAGATTACCATCTGGATAAAGCTCTTTATTGGGATGCGGTACACCTGCTGGATCACGGCCAACTATGTAAAAGTTTGCGCCAGCATTCATTCTAGCTTTGGCATGCCATTGTACTTCAGTCGGGCCAGCATACATCATTGGAGAAGGAAAAATGGCTAATACGGTATCCTCTGCTTTTAATGCGCCAGAATCTAAAACTGCTTGATGTTGAGCTATTCTCACTGGCAACGGCACGTCGTCATCTTTTGTCCAACCACCCAGTGGATGGAGCAATAAAACTGGTTTTTTAAATCCCCGCTCAATTAACTGACGTTTTGTGTCTTGCATGAGTAGCGCATGTCCATTGTGTATAGGATTTCTTAATTGAAATGCAAAGATTGCATCTGCGCCTAAGTCTTTGAATTTCTGCCTTAATTCGTTAGGTGTTAGCCTATATTGATCCAAGCCATCATTCCAACGTATACGCTCAAATACTTCTAACTCGCCACCAACTAGATAATCTCCACCGTTTGCAATGATCTTTATATACGGATGTCCTTCATGACTTGTGCCAAATTGACGAGATACTCGTTCTTCCTTGCGTTGATAATAAAATTCGGGCTTGCGTAAGATAGCTATTGGTTTATTATTAAAAGTAAGCGCAACAGAAGATACGCCGTCCAGTTTATTTTTAGTATCCGTAGCTACTGATAAAACGATTGGTACTGACTGATTCTTACGAGCTGAGTCACCATCAACAGCGATTGAATTGAAATGAATTGTTTGCAAAAATATATCTTCTCTCATGAACCCTTTAAGTGGACTCGCCCAGCCTTCGGATAATACTTGCACCCATTGCAAATCTACTTCTGTTAATGGAATCGAATGTAATGATTCAGCTTCATGTAGCAACGATTCTTTTAATTTTGGCTCTACAAAAAGTTCCGTAATTTCACTGGAATTTACATGATTTTTCAAAATGATTCCTTCTTCTTGCAAAAGATTAATAACTAATTGAGTAGACTCTTTAATGGTATAACCATCAGTATTGATAATAAGTTCAGGATTTTCCGGCTTTTCATAATCTTGTGTTATGCCAGTAAATCCCTTAATAACACCTTCACGCGCTTTTTTGTAAAGGCCTTTAACATCACGCGATTCACATATTGACAGCGGTGTATCCACAAACACTTCATAAAACCGCAACTCAGCATCTTTATGAATTTTCCTCACTAATTCGCGATCTTCAGCAAATGGCGAAACAAAGCTGCATATAGCGATGACACCGCTGTCAGCAAATAACTTTGCTACCTCACCCACTCTCCGAATGTTTTCTTGACGATCAGCTGGTGTGAAGCCTAAATTTTTATTTAATCCTGTACGTATGTTGTCACCATCAAGGCCATACGCTGGTATGCCATGTAATACGAGGAAGGCTTCTAATTCAAATGCAATAGATGTTTTTCCAGCTCCGCTTAGGCCGGTTAGCCATATGGTACATCCACGGAAACCGCGACATAAGCCTAGGCTATTACCCCTTATTTCTCGGGTTACGTTGTGCTTTTGCTCCGAAACATTTGTTGCAACTTGAAGGCACGTTTTCTGCTTTTTCTTTAACGATTCCTCACTCATTATTAAATATATTTTAACGCAGAAACTAGTAAAATTGCGGTTTTTTATAAAAACTAATCAACGAGTACTTTGCGATAAGTGAGCTATTGATAATTATTTGCAACTACTTGTTAAAAACATGAAAACGCTACCAACGCACGTTTATATTCACTAACTAATCGAGTATTACTGCTAATGAAACGTCACCTGTTTTATTGATAAGGCACAAATTTCAAAAATACCTTTCCATTTTCAGCTGCCACAATGAATTGGAAAAATCATATGGTTGATAACTGGAAATCAAATGCCAGTGCTGCCAGAGAGTTTTTCAACTTCTTGCAGCATAAATGAATCCATCTGTAGTGGGATTCTCTATTGTCAAAGAACGTACACCCACTTTTGGAGTAAATCGCTCAGAGAACGTAAATACGATTTATTTATATTTACGTTCTCTGGTTGAACTGGATAGCGGAAAAGCTAGTTAAATAACTTTATAGTCTCTTCAAAGATAACGTCATTAACGGAAAACTAATCTATAATATTGTTGCGAAAATGCGAGGCGAATGTCAGATGAAAGAGAGAAGCCGATAACTAGTACGTTCTAGAAACGATAAAACAAGAACCTTCCATAGCGAACAATCCGATGCTTCTACGCTTTCGTCTGCGAGCAGCCGACTGCTATATAAAGGCGACACTCAGCTGCAAGT